GATTTGCTTCCTCTTCTGCAGTCAATTCTCTTGCCAACACCATGATTTAAGATATCGATTCATTCTCCTACCTTTGACCAGATTTCTTATGTAAATGAAGAGATTAAGAACACTATTAATTGGGTCAGATACACCTGTCCTCCAATTGTGGTGATGCCTTCTTCATATAGTCTAATAACCCAGATTATATCATTAATAAATAGGTGCCATAAGTATTGTATAGCGAGAGAATATGCTTTAATAGTTGCCTAAGGAAGAAGTTTGGGAAAAAGAAATAATCAAAAAGAAGCTCAAGAATTTGTTTACATGATAAAGTTGTGCATATTGTGATTGTCAAAGTGTATACATGATTATAAACACAAATAAAATGTTAAATTATACCCTACAAATTATGGATCTTACTGTATATAAATTATAATTTTATTAGAAAATAAAGGATAAGAAATGATCAAAAGTATTGCAAAAATGATGTGCACATTAAACATATCACCAGGTGCAACATAATTGCTTTTCCCTAGGAAAATGAGATGAGGTACTATTGATGCCCTCGTAGGGGATCCCTTGAGAGCTCTCGGTCTTTGTAACTCCCCATAGGTTTCCATGCATTAGTCTGTATTTACGCTTATCTTACCAATAAGTATGAGGTGTGTGACCACTCTCGAGGCAGAAAGAAAATGCATGATTAATGCAGGGTTTCAACTTAGCTTCCTGACTACATGTTAATTTTTTTTTCTATCTTTGATCCCTGCCATGGAGACTCCGGATTCTTTTGACTAGCACCTGAGGGAGACATTGTTTCATGGCTAATGTTCTTATTTCAAACTCACAGCTCAGATTTGCCCTTCTGTTTTGAACACAAATCAAGGTAAGCTTTTGATTCCATGTCCACTTCAAGTAAGTAGTGTAATTCATGAAAAAGTGATGGGGAAAGTACATATAATTTATTTGATTCAAGAATAAAATATTGTAAAGAGTTTTGTAAAATAATTCTGGAATCAAATAAATTAAATACATATACTGGTTAATAGCCCAAGCCTTTATTCCATCAGAACTGAGTTAAATCTTGAATCCTCCTCATGATCACATTATAATTACACAATACAACATAAATAATTAAATTTCTAAATAATCATGTGTTAATATAATAGAGAACGTGTAGTGTTATTGTGAGAACTCACTGAACAGATATTTGTATATATAAAAATATTATCATTGGTTGGTTAACATTATGCATACTTAAAACGGTTCTGTGTATCTAGCCATTGTAGAAAAAAACCTTCCTAAGCCCACCTTCTAAAGTGAAGCTGCGAAAGGATTAGGAGAAAGGTGGAAGAGAATATCTAAATACTTCACATTCAAATAAAGATATAAAATATTGTGCCTACGCATGATACATTCATATAAACCATTTAAAGCACAGAGCTAACACCCAGAGCATATATGCTGGCAAACTGCATCCATAATCTATGATCTCTTAACCTTTGATCTATGTGATTTATCAATGGGAAGGCAATCAAAAAAGAAATAATGTGCTTAAGAAAAAATGAGTTTTTTTAAACTAAAACTATTATGTAAATTTCAAGTACATATTAAGTTTAGAAAAAATAGGGGCTCACACAGTGAAACTGGCACATATGGGTGGTTTTCCTCAAACTTTAGGAAGCTCTCTCATATTCTTTCAATTACTACACAGGGAAGCCACAAACACCAAGTTTGTATAATAGAGACAAAGACAAAGACTCATTTTAAATTGAATTAAGTTCTACATTATTACTTT